CCTGCTTACTAGTGCAGATGTCTTAACCACTCGACCACCGAGCTTGCCGGGGTCGGCTGGCCGGTCCGAGTCAAATGAAGCAGCGGGTACCGCGAACTGTTTTCAAGATGTATTTTTTTTTTTTTTTGCTTATGAATATACGTTGGGTAAGGGCAAAACCCGTTATACATAAAAAATACATATATAAAAAATATATAAAAAAGCCCAGTTTGTGTTGATTGTTCGGCGCTGTTTGTTGACGATACACATGACACGAGTTTGGGTAGGAGATCGGTTTGTAAAGATCAGCTGCAGAATGACAGACTCTGCACAGCATCTGTCTGACCCGAGTGATGGAAAGTTGTTGGATGATCTGTGCTGCTGTCTGAACACTCTGGTTGATCTTGTAGTTTTATAATTTTTGAAGGATGTGATAATACATCCAGTCTTTCCTTTGGTGGTGGCCTAGCTTTTGGAGACAAAAATATGTTCATCTCCATTTCACCTGACGCCGAGGTCGGTATAGGGTTGGGGTACTCTGCAGTTGGCCCATTCCATTGACAAAATGCACAAAGCAAATGTACATGTACGTAGGATATATTATTCACGCAAAAATCTTTCCTACTGCAATTTTTTGGCCAATGTTGGGCCTTGTTGGAATTTGATTTTAGCTTGGGAAATGGAATCCACCAGACCCCCTTCACGTGTGGACAATCTGAAAAGCGTGAGTCATTGTTGTAAGTACCGTAACAGCAGTGCTTCTTTGAAGGCATTTCGGGAGGTAAAATCCACTGAAACTGTTTCTAGCGAATATAATCGCACAATCAGCAATGAAATGAAGTCCTTACTACGTCTTTTATTGCCCCAAAAATGGCCGCCGAATGCAACTGAAACCCTATAGAAACTACACAAAGGGCCTACTGAACACGCACAATTTTCATTGTACGTTGTGCAGTCGTCCGATAAGCTTGCCCCGAATCATGTGGCATAGCAACAGTCACTACGTACTGGGGTCAAATCTGGGTCACTCGCACAAGGCTTATTAAGAAAGGTAATACTCACTACATAACGTCCTCAACTGAACATAATTTAAAATGGCAACAACTTACTGATATTTCCCCTGAATTTACTGCTGTTCTTGAACAAAAACTGCATTTTCAAGACATTTTACCTCCTGCTTTTCCTGTTACAATCTTTTGTTCACCCATAACGCAAGAGTTGGTACCATACTTGTTAAGTGTTTATATTGTGCACTGACAGCATGTAGATGTACATGTAGACAGTTCTTGACTGACATACATGAGAATATGAGATGAATATGTGGCAGTGACTGCACATCGACACACAGCGACAGCACTGACTCGAATTACTGCCCTAATGAAGTGCTGTTTATTTGACAATTTTTTATTAAAGAATTTTTTGGGGGGATTTATTACCAAACTCTTGCGACCATTTTTAGTGGCTGAATTGTGGTTTGATTTACATACTTCAAACATTAAAGATTTAAAGTCATAGACCTTAATGAATAAATGAAGATTAAAAAGAAAATTTTAAAAACATTAAAAAAGACAACAAAACTAAACATTAAAACAGAAGATACACTTTACCATAAAAAATTTCACACTGACTCGAGTTAAGTCCCGAGTTATTACTTTTTACAAGTCTTCCAACTCTACAATAACAATAAAGATACTTCCTGTGAGATGATAAAAGCATTTTTTCCCCTATGAAATATGACAAACCAAAAAAAAGACCACTTGATTTGGAACTTCCTTGCATCCACAACAACACATCCTTTAATTTTCAGAAGCAAATGTTAAGTAATTTGGTAAGGCAGGGAATTGAACTTTCTCTATACCTGTCGACTTGAATTTTTGGCTCAATAAAACATCATTTTTTTCGTAGTTCCATAACATGTTTGTGGTTATTTGGGGGAAACCAACTCTGAAAACGTTGGGAAGCAACACATCATTTTGCAAATTGTGAACACAGGTATTCTCTTCTGTGAGCCAAGGATTCAACATTAAATTCTAACAGGGTATCATCAACCAATGAATAATCAGATCCCCAAATAATCCTGAAGGCTCTTTTTTGTATTGATTCGATACAAGAAGATTGTTCTGCAGTTAAACCTGAGTACCATACAGGTGCCGCATATTAAAAGATGGGCCGAACATACATGTATGTTGAAAATATTGTTACAAGAGTTTTCTGGGTAAACCAAACTTTTTTAAGCAGCTGATAATGAGAAGAAACAAATCCAATATTTTATTTTTGAAGGATGACAAAAAAACTTCAAGGTAAATTTGTTGAACACTACTCCAAAAAGTGAAAAATGCAGTTTTAGGACCATCTTTGATCTGCAGATTGACCTCACCTGTGCATTATCCAGGCACTGAGAAATGTCCTTTGGTCCAGGGATTTTTTTGCAAACTACACCAGCTGCACTTTGTGTGTAAAAGTTAACAGCACTTTTCTTGCTTTTCTCGAAGCAGTGATCTCGAAAAGTTAATGACGGTTAATGGAATAATGCACAAATTAACAAACCCTCAAATCAAGCAATCTTGAAAATTACAGCAAGTGCAAATGGCATATACTGCGTTTAAAGTGAGTGTGCCTTTTTTGCTCTGGATTCAACAGAATTTTCATATACAATGTATGTTCCATAAATACATGTACACGTACGACTCGCCTAACTTATTCAAACAGTCAGTGCAATGCACGTTGCATGAGCCACGTCCGTGGCAGCACTCTTTTTTGACACACACATATACATTTACCTGCCGTGCGAGTTGGACGCGACACCAAAATCGTTCATGGATAAAAATATCCTCTGTCGACAACCTACAATGTACATGTAACTAACAGTGTACACGTCGTGTAGTACCTGGTTTCGCTTGGAACCACAGCTAAGAATGTTTGGATCCAAGACTAAGCACTGTTGTGAAATCAATCACGATCATGTCTAGTGTGCAAGCAAACAACGTGAATTTTTGCTGAATTCCATGATGAATCAACACATTCAGGAGATGAAAAATAATTAACCATTTCAGATGATGTACATGTAAACTCTTGTGGTAACTATACATCATCACGGACACGGATTTGACTCTTGTACGATGCAGCACTGATATTTGTTCGTGGTAATATGGAGAATATTCTGAGTTTTCATGAAAAATTATGAATTTTGGGGAGACGGATTCCTAATTCTTGATAGCCAATGCTGGGAGGTCTGTATTGAATACATGTACTTCTGAAGATGTCATTTTTTTTTTCTTTTTTTGTGTCCGTATATCTGACGCACAACATTTTCTGTGTTTCACTTGCACTCGTGTGATAATAATGTACACTGAAGAAATTTGATTCACTTTTAACCTACCTGCTACTGTTTGCAAGTTTCCTGAACTCCTTCAAAGTTAGCGGCTTCTTTTGAATGTTGTACTGAGTGTAGAGTCCTTGGTGACCCATGACTTCCTGCTGAATCGGGGCTGGGATGGTGATGTTCTCTGCTTTTTCATAGTCATATGCAGCAACAAATTCCTTTGGCGGGATGATCTTAAAGCATGGTATAAATAGAACAGGAATACAGTTCAGTTGATTGATAAAATCTTCAATTCTGTGCTTGATTAAACTTAATTTTTGCACTCCCTGTTCAATAGCAGAGCGCAAAATTAGACCAAAAAAGTGCTAGGACAAATTGTCATAACACAATCAAGTTTGTTCTGCCATTACCATCTTTTGATCTGCCAAATTATATAACAGGTAGAGTTGTAGCGTGCAGTGTCAGGTGTCGAAATACACTTTTTTCCCTGGTCCTACTAGAACCGCACATGCAGCCGCATTGAACAATCCTTGTTCAGGCAAGGCAACTGACATGGCCTGCCTGACCGGGCAGGCCATGTCATAAATTTGCTTGATCACCAAAGATTTATTTAACTAAGGCCACAATCCAAAGTATTGTGTTCATATTTTAAGAGCTGTTAGTGATATGTTGGTCGGACAATTTGCCTGAGCATTTTAAATTTTGTTCGGACAAACACAATAAGTGCTCGGAAAATGTTCGATGTTCGACCGTAATTTCATGCTCTGTAACAGTGTGGTCCAATTCCATTAATCCAACACATACTGTACAAGCCCTCAGGAGTTTCAAGCCAGTTTTACATTAGGCCTGTGAGACTAGTTGACTAGTTGCCAATAAGGTATTGGTGATCACGACTCTCAATGTTTCAATTTTCTTTATAACAGAAGAAAAAGCTTGTACTTCTGTTGCATCCAGGATGGGTCCTCAATCTGTGCTATGAAGTGCCACTGCTGATCTACACAATTGTTCAAGTCCTTGCCCTCTAGGTTGTCTATTTGATACATGTTGAATTCAGATTCTAACTTGTCCATGGACTCCCTGGAACTACTAGATCGAATCGCTCTACAAAGTATTCCATAGAGCGTAACTTCACCTTCCACATGAATTACTGACAGATCTTCCGTCTGGAGGAAAGAGGTACATGTAAGTTTTTTCGACATCTCAACGGCGCTTTCATCTTGCGAATTCCTTTTGCGCTTTTCTTTAAATATGTGAATCTTAATTCATTTGCTCCTCCGGCAGAGATCCGCAAATCACATCTGCAAATCTTGCAGAATGCGAAAAAGTCACCCTTATGTGATGTCGTTATGAATTGGAACTGCTCTTTGTATTCGTCCCGAAATCGTTGCAAGTGTTTTTGCTTATCCTTCTCCATATCGCTGTACAAACTTGTTAATTCCCGCCACAATTCTCTATTTGAACCGAAGACACACCACTTGATATGCCTGATCACGACTACACGCGCGCAACGGAATTCGAAGTCACATGCCGAAAATCATGCAGAAACTTGCGAAAATGAGAAGCATTGTGCAGCGAAAATGCTCAACACTTGCCACACGCGCACGACTATTAATATTATTATGAATGGTTTATTTATTTTAACTGTATTCCTCGCCGCCAGGGGCAGAATTGTGAATTCAATTTAAAACAAATAAATATACAATAATATGTACAATTACAAAAGAAAAGGGTATTAAAAAGCTAAAAGCTTTAAATTTCTACAAAGCCTTGGAGTAAACAGGGATATTATGATCAATAATACATTCTAAAAGGGTTAAAATTAAAATGACAAAAAATTGAATCAACAGAAATCAAAATTTGTTTACAAACATTAAATGTACTTGGACAAAAGGGCAAAAATACAGAAAGGGAAGAGGAAACAAAACATATAGGGCTAAGGAGGGTCAAAAAGGGGGAGGGGGTAAGGGGTGGGAGGTCAGGAGGAAGAGCGATCAAAAGGAAGAGGAGGGGGATCAAAACACACAATATTACAAAGGGGAACATCAGATAGGGAGGACAATCATTTGTATTAAAAGCATTAAAAAATTAACCAGAGCAAGTAAACGATAAGGTCTGATTCTATTATTGGCAGGACAAATAAACTCAACATGAAGCTAATAGGTTTAGTCAGACACACTGTTAAGCAGCTTTATCAATCCTACAAGAGGGCTGTTCTGATACCTCCTTGTACGACAGAAAGGGACTGTTATAGTTGTAGAATTTCTTAACTGACGACCATGTGACTGATGACGAGTCAGAGGAATCCAAGTACTAAAATGCTTTGAGGTGAGCAGAGACTGACCAAACTTAATACACAATTGGTTTCGCCTTTGACTGAGAGTGAGCATGCCACAAGAAACAAGTGCATCATCATAACCATTGTATTCATTGCCAAGAATAATTTTGCAAACCCTCTTCAGGAAATTTTCCAGAGCTGTAACATGTTTCAACGTGAGGCTAAAATTCCATACTGGAGTGGCATATTCTAACAATGGCCTAATATAGCCAAGATAAATGGAGACCAAATCATTTACAGGTAGGCAAAACCGCTTCAGTGTCTTTAACATATACAGTCTTTTGTTGGCACGAGATATTATATTGTGGATGTGGGCATCCCATTTAAGGTCTGCCTGCACTATGACACCCAGGATGCGATGGGATGCGTTTTCTTGTAGAACTGTGTCCGCG